ACAGGAAAACTTTTCTACTGAAGGAAAAATTATTTTTACAGTTTAAAAGACTCCCTGACACATGTTTTCACCCCTTGTGATCAAGTGAAATACATATTCGTGGCCCTTAAGGCAAAGGTCTGTAATAACCAAATCTGAAGTTAAATCAGCATGTCATTAGTTCAAGATTTTGAGCTAATTAAGAATGGCCGCAATATAATTACTGCATCAGAATTATATTGTCCATAGATTGTTGGGTATTTTATTTTCTGAGAAATTAAATTTTTATATAAAATGGTTCATTTAAATAGAGTAATATTTAATACTTATTAGATTAACTAAAATAATGGGGTAGAATATTTACTGTTTGTACTGCTGCTGTACTTCTTGACCTCATCTTCTGTCCTTCTCATTACATTTTCCTGTGGATTCTCCGGCAGGCTTCCTACTCCTGTTGTTTTTGAAGAAAGATTGACTACTAGTTTTGATTGCCTTTGCTAGTCTTTTTACAGACGTTTTTGGTATGCATTGCTATGTTTGTGTCCTCCTATTTTCATCATTTAGATGCAGCAGGCATTTTCAAGGATGTCTATATACATTATACTTTTTAGATCAAGAAAAATGAATGGTATTATTTCAAGAGTTTCATGCCATATGATGTTGTAATACTTCATTTTTCATAAGCAGGACTAAAATGTGTTTCAGAAAGATGATATTGACACCATACTGGTCAGTTTACTATCAGTTTATCTGTAACAAAGATCTTGCAGGGACTTAACAGTGTGCATTTTACTCTTCTCGATATAACAGTGTTACAATGCTTAACATTACCTGATCTTTATTATTAAAGAAAATGAACAAAATCAGAAAAACTTTCCATCCATTCAGCATGAAATGATACAGCACACTCTACCAACTGCACTATGAGCTGCGTGTTGCCAGCAAACATCCCGAGAAATACAATCACTTGCAAACCTAAAAGCTTGAAGGTGGGGATATGCCTTGGAAAAATGGAAGGCTGTGTAGGCAAATTCATTCAAAGTATCCAGACTCTGAGACATATACAATACTATTTAGAGATATGTTGGCTTTTTAAAAGAAAATGTTTTGTCAGAGTGAGTTTGTTAAATGTGTTGTGGGTAAGCGTTTCTCGGATTACGATACTATTTCCTGAGACAATCACAGGTTAGTAAATAGCCTGAGACTGTTAATGAGGGTATTTGTGTAAGTGAAACGGAAGCTGGGGCTCTGGCTCCACATCTACCCATTTTAGAGAAAGAAATCGGACAATAAAACACGTATTGTAGTGTAGGGTGGATTGTTTGTACTTCATCTCAGGTGAAGTCATGACTTAGACAGTACTCTCAGTCCTGAAGTGTTGTGCAAATGTAAAGTGGAGCCACAGAAGAGAAGCAAGTAATTATGCATTACTCAATCTTCTGGAAAATCCAAGATTTCACTGCTGAAAGCTGCTCATATTGCCACTGAACGTCCTGCTATTTCTCCGACGTAATTGAAAACAGGCACGACTTATGTCTGTATTGACTGAGAATTCCAATGTTCTAACTCCACGTTCAGACTACACAGTGTTCTGCATGGCAAATGGACATTCTTTGATGTTTTTATTTTCTAATTTGTGACTACATGTGGTGTCTAGATTCTGCACATACAGCTATGCTGGGCATTTTGGGACAGCATAGGGACATCTGAGATGCTCTATGCAAGCTAGCTGGGGTGTCGGAGTTGGGCTAGTCACAACCTCACAGAATTCTCTGTTGTGAGTGCAGTGTACGTGCAAAATACTGAACTTAACTGATCCCAGAAAGTGAGTGGGATCAATATTGAGAAACTTTACATTGCCCTGCTGTATATTTGTGTCCAGTGTAAAAGAGAAGAAACGGATGGGTGCATGTAATGGGTTAAAATGGATTGGCAAATTCAGCTTTATTTGAAAGAAAATTAACTTCTGAAACACGTGTGTTTCCAATGCAACTGTAGCAATCATCCCTCTGACTCATCTAGAGAAAGAATGGAGAAAAAAATGTATGTGTATATGAAATTTCTTCATAAGAGAGAGCAAATGCAGTAACTTTCTGAAGTCAGTACTGAATGAGTCAAAGACATTTTGACTCTCTGCTGTCCAAAGAGCATGCAACATGACTTTACTTTGAAAACCAAGTATATATGTGATACTGAAGTCTGTATTTACATTGTTTTGGTCTTGAAGTGCATTTGGCACTGTTCCTCATTTCATCAATTTTCTAGCTAAACTGTGATCTCCAGTTACATCCTTCCTTATGCCAACGCAAAGTAGCACCAGTCCAAGATCAACAGATTGGTTTATATGACATCCGGCATCAAGGTACCTTCCATGTTTCTGTCTTCTAACATCTGCTCTTCGTGCTTCCAGATGATTAATCTCCCTCTGCTCCTAGCTTCTTAATCACAGAACCCAAAACTTCTTTTTTCCTCCTACTAGAGACAACTGGAATAATTTCTCCATTGCACTGTGGTCTTCTTAAGAATTATCTCTGATGTAGTAGTGATGTGCATAAAGATCTGAGCTTACTTTTTTTAATCACAACATTGCTACAGTAAAAAAATGTCCTCTGGGATCAGTAATTTCACTAAAGTAATAAATTCAATAGCTGGTTTTCCAGAGAAACGTGTGCTCTTTAACTGATCTGAACATAATATCTTCTAAGATTCCAGTTTTTCAAATGCTTTATCTTTTTATTTTCCACGTCTGTGTATCAACAAGAAAGCTCTCTTGCATTCATGCTAAAGGCCTACTGCACTTAAATACAGGATGGTCTTCTGGAGCAATTTGCACCAGGGCCCTAGAACTGATATTTCCTCTCGCTCCTTAATTCTTTTTTGCCTGTTACTTAGTACCTCTCTGAAGTAAGACATGGGGTCTGAAGTATTTCAAAGCTGCAAATACAAACACGTCTGAGACATATTCTTAGCTGCCTTCTGCCCTCATTACAGCTAATGCAGAAACTTTCTTCACAATGTGATCATCCTGTTTGCACACCACCCACCTGCCGTGCAGCATTGTCATTTTAATGTCAGGTCATTCTGTGGAGCTTTATGCAATATTTCTCACTAGTAACTCAGTGGAAATAGACAGTAGCTCCAGCAGCGGCTGGGGCAGTTTTCGTTGCATCCTAACTTGGTCATCAGAAAGCTGCTGGGAAAGATAGGTGGGTAAGCTGGTTAGGCAGGGGTAGTTTAGGGTATCGCCTGTGCTGATGTAAAGAATAGTATATGGCTGGATCATCAGAAAGAACCTATTATATCATGAAAAGTGAAATTGACAGAACCTGTCTTTCAACAGTCCCACATCAATTTGTACCACATCGCTACAATAGTCCTCATTTCCTTCTCCTACCCCTTACCACAGACATAACTTCAGGCCCACTCCACATTGTCTAACACCTTTTTTCAGTGCCTGTAGCTCTCTTTCATGTCTCTAATTACTCCTACAGTATATTCAGCTTCCTCTTCCCATTCATCACCTTTTTGGCTGAGGAAGATGAAGAGAAAGGGAAATTGACTGTTACTTCCCCTAGGCTGCAGTTACACACATGTTGATGGGCTACCGTATTTCAGTTGGTTCCTTTTTTTCTTTTCCTGTGTAAGAGTGTGAATGCAGTTCCCCACTACTACAGATTTTTTAAGTGTCCTGTGTTCAGGATATATTACCAAGAGTGTAGCTAGCACATCAAGGAGATCGATTCTTCCCCTTTATTCAGCAGTTTTGAGATCACAGCTGAAGTTCTGTGTCCAGATTTGGCTCCCCAGTAGAAAAAAGGCATTGGCAGACTGGAGGGAGTCCAGTGGAATGTCACTGGAATGGTCAGTGGCTGGAACAAACCCACGAAAAGAAACTAAGACAGACTCATTTATTCAGCCTGGAGAAATAAAGGCTAAAAGAGGGCATAACTGCAGTCTTCCACTACGTAAAGTGGGATTATAGAGAAGACAGAAACATATTCCTCTCAGTGGTACACGGTGAAAGGAGAAGAAATAACAGACACAAGTTATAGTATGGGAAACTGTGATTTAAGGAAAAAAATACTTCACAACATGGTTGGTTAAGCATGGGAGCCAATGTCCAGAGATGATGTAGACGCTACATCCTTGGAGATATTAAAAACATGACTGGACAAGCTTTGAAGCTAGCCCTGCTTAAAAGGAGAGATTCAGGAGGTCCCTTTCTATCTAAATTATTCCATGACTGTATATCTTGGATTCTGAAACTTCTCCTCAGTCAGATTTACTTAAAATTCACCAGCAGGCTTACAAGTGATTTGATGGGGGGAGCAGGGATGGGGGGAAAAAGCGGACTGACGGAGAGATGAGTGAACAAACGAAGTAACGCTGTGAGATTCCTTTCCCTAGAGATGTGCGCGTCCTGACCACTGGCAGAAATGGTAGACAACTAGCCAACACCACTACTTGCTGAATGTAACTGTGTGCAGTAAGAAATCCAGATCACAACTAGGAGTTTCATTCTGTGCCATATTGAATGCAGATAGTCTGACGCTGTATTATTACTGCCCAGGCCCCTATGCGGGCATACAATAGCACTCTGTCACGATTACTTCTGTTTTGTGAGAAGTGTCTATGGGACCTCCACAGAACAAAGAAATACTTAAGCAGTGGCAAATACTAACAGGTTGAGACATTAAGGAAGCTTCAGCCAATGACACAATAATCAGCGATGTAAACTTTAATAAAACATTCAGATGGACAGGAACCGGTTTGGCTTGAAATACTTCACAAAGCTATGAGACATAAGAGAGCTTTCCTAAGCTATTGTATGAGAGAGTTCAAGGAGTGTGAGAACAAGCACAAGTGAGGAAGATGAATCTATGCAAATTTTATGTAGATATCTTGTGTTAGACTATGATTTAAGCCGTGGAGGAGGAGCACCATCTCAGGCCAATTTAAAAGCCAGAAGACAGGCTGTCTACTTGAGATCAGTCTCTCGTCTTTTTTCTTCACAGACAGAGATGTGGGCAAGGATTCTTCTGAGTATTGTCTCCTTGAACTGGATTGCCACAGTGTCATCTGAACCGTAAGTGATCATACCTTCTGCGTTTTTATGACAAAATATTTTATTATATTTTTATTATATTTCCCAGCAGTTAATTTCTTCTGGGACATTGCTATATAATGAACTGGAGGTTTCAGACCTAGGTTCTGAAATGTGTCTGCAATGAAAGTAGATGACATAGAAGGATGATTTGGAATGATGTTCTCCGTCATAAAACTACTATAAAATCTGATTCGAATGACAGAAACCTAGAAATGGAGTAGATGAATTCTGAAGTGCATGGGTAAACTGGAGAGGAGATTCAAGAGTAGACTAGCAAATAATACTAATGAGCAGGATTGACATGCATCAGCAGTACACAGAAAGCATAGTCTATGAGGAGGTGCTGCAGGACAGATAATGGCTGGTACTAGGGACTATGCTGAACGGCAATCCTAGTATTAGTATTAATATTAGTGTTAGCGTTCTTGTTAGCGCTAGCATTAGCATTAGGATTATCATTATCATTAGCATGAGCATTAGTATTAGTTTTACACCTGCTGTGCTGTCACGTCTTATACAGCACTCTAAATGCACATGGCTTTATCCAAACAGAAGATATCAGCCACAATTTTCAAAAACACACCAACTTTAGAGCTTGAATTTCCTTCTCAACAATTCTAAAGGAAAACACTGTGAAAGTCAGAGGGCTTAGCTTTCTCAGATACCGTGTTGGTTTTAATCATCTTACTTTTGGTTTTTTAATATCGTGCACTCTGAACTGGGCAAGTGAAAATAACAATAAAGACAATGAGAGTAAGAAAAGCTGTGGGAGAAGAAAAAGGAGAGGATCATATCACCAAGGAAAGATTGTGCAATTCATGTTGTGGTGCAGAACCAACTCACCAGTTCTGCTATACATTTTTTGAAAAGACCAGTATGGGCAGCAGAGAATGGGAGGCCAGCAACAGAAACTTAACCAAATATAGCAAATCTAAAGGAATGCTTTTAATTCCTTTAGAATCTGGAAGGAAGAATCTGGGGAAGCAAGGCTGCTGCAGTTATAGAATGTAGGATAATTTAAAAAGCCCAATGGAAGAAAGAAGCAAAGGAAGCAACACAGGGAGAGGCAAGGAAACAGAATAGAGCATGCAGGTTAGACTGAGCATTCCCTGGAATCTTCTGCAAAATGGAAAAGCAGGATCATTTCTTGTGCATTATGGTGAAAGACTTAGATATGTCAGTTCTTATCTGGAGGGAGAGATATTCAGAGAAAAAGAAATTAAAAAGGTGTTGCAACCATTAACTAGTATTTTTGCCATTGATCTCAAAAAGAAACTAAATATCATTCCTTCTTATGGGAGGTTCCAGAGGTTTAGGTACACCTATAGGTTATGGGAGGAGAAATGCAGCTATGCTTGTCAGGTGTTTAAACACTTAAGTAATTGGAGCTGTCCTAGTACCTGGAATGGAAAGATGCAGTACCATGCTGGGTAAGAGACTGTGCAGAACGATGACAGTCTTTCAGCTTAGAAAGAACTGTGAGGGACAAAGAATTGTATTCTGTACTTTCTTAGCAAATTATTAAAAATTAATTGGAAGAAATTGAAATCCTTCCACTGGTTTGAGCAAGACTTGGACAATGTCTTCCTTCACATGTGTGGCATTTCTGTGGTATTTTCCTCTCCTGTTTGCTCTGACCTCCCACCATGACTGAACTCTCTGATCTGGTCTTGCCTTCTTACAGTCAATATGTACTGCTGGTCCCAACGGTCGTACGGAGCGACTCTCCACAGACCGCTTGTGTGCAGTTCCACAGCCTCAGTGAACCTCTGTCCCTGAGCATTGTCCTGCAATATGGCAATATCCAGGAGACTCTCTTTGAGGAATCCGTGACAAAGAATAATTTCTTCAGGTGCTGGGAGTTCAAGGTATTTTCTCTTCTGAGACTGCTGAAGAGGGTGTAGCTTAAAACCTTAGTACCTGGTGGCAGATTATGGGACTTCCACTGCAGAAATTCCCTGACACCATCTCACTGGCAAAGATGGGGCTTCTCATGACTTTGCACAAGCTATTTATGACTCACTTGATGGTCAGTATCTTACTCAAGAATTCTGGGCATCAGGGGACCTCAACATCTCTCATTTACCACTTTTCCTCTTTTTTTTTTTCTCTCCAGGTTCCTCCTGCTACTTCTGACCCCGTGGCATTCATTTCCTTCTCTGCCAAAGGCAACACAGTCAACTTAGCTGAGAGAAGATCAGTGGCAATTGAGAATGTGGATAATGCTGTCTTGGTCCAGACGGACAAACCCATCTACAAGCCAGGGCAAGAAGGTGGCTGGGGAGTTTGAGTCAGCTAGTGAACTGGGAAACTGAGGGCAAGGGTGGGTCTAGAATGACAAGGACTTCATCTTGTGGAGGAAAAAACCATGGACTGTGACAGCCATGAGCAATCCTTCAGATAGTGTATAATTGTCATCTGAGAATGGGCTCATCAGAAGTCAGTAAAAAATAGAACCGATTCACAAAATTGAAACAAATGAGTAGAGTTCATGTGTCTTTAATGAGTTAATTGCATCTACAGGATCTTGAGTTCTGACAGATTTACTGAGGTCAGTCACATAAAGTTTCCTTAAAAATACAGAAAATAATAGGTTAAGCTTGGAATTCATGAAATTAATATAAAAATAAAGTAAGCATGTCATTTCCTGTCAACAGCTCTTTCTACTTAACTGTTAATCTAATTCACGGTGCTGATTCCATCACAATATTTAAAGTACTAGCTGTGGTATAGTTAGTTATCTCTTTGGTATAATTATACTTCAGTGCTGCACAGGGTTTGCACTTAAAATAAAGACAAATTCTTCCTTCTCTTTGATTTTTTAATTGAATTGGTTTGTATAAACAGTTTTTTAGGAAACACTCCAAGGAACTGAGTCCTTCAAGAAGAAATAAAGGCAGTAGAGAGTATTTGTATTTACCTGAGAGGTTACTTTAGTCCCAGTGGGTCAGAATTGAAACCATTTTAGCTGGCAAGTTTATTTTGGTTTTCTTTTTCAGTGTCTAAGATAATCAAATTCTTTCTAGTTCTCTGGGGACTCTTTAGTTCTCCCTAAAAGCCTTGGGCAAGCTTTGTTTCAGTTGTACGTTGAAAGTAGCTTACCAATGCTGAAGTGAGTGATCCTTTTTTGTCCTAAATCTTTTGCAGTGATGTTTCGTGTAGTCGCTTTGGACAGCCAGTTCAGACCTGTTCAGGAGACCGTAAGTATGAGCGATACTCAAGATTTTTGAAGCACCCCCTTGGGGTACCTGTTCACTGAGACTCATTCACTTAGATATTTAATAAAAAGGGCCTGGGATGGGTCTTTTGATGTTTTTGGAGAACTGCTGTAACTCCTTAACTTCCCTTGCCTGCCTTTATTGAGGGCAAAGGGTCTGAAAGCACTCCTGGAAATCTGTCACAGTGTTCAGTTTTTATAGTCACTTCACCTGCCCCAGATATGTAGAAAGAGACTGGATGTTTTCTGTAGAAAAGATAAATTCACAAATGGGTTAGCCCATTAAAATTATATTTTTAATTACAGACATGGGTTTCAAATGATTTGCCTGACCCAGTCTTCTGTATCCAGAGAAAACTGTTCACAGCCTCCTTTATGCTCTAGTATGTTTCAAGCTCCGCAATTAATTTCTTGATGTTTTGACAATTTTCCTTCCCCCCCCTCTTTTTTTCCTCTTCTAGTATCCCCAAATCATCATTGAGGTAAGAGATGCAACACATCATAAAAGAACAAGTCACTTTGGAAAGGCTATGTATGCTTCATCATTCCCCACAGCATCAAAAGCTGAGGGAGACTCACCCAAAGGACACCGCCTAAAGCTGATGGACTTGAGGTTGAACAGTGGCAGTACGCATAATCAAACACTAGAGGGGAAGAAATCAGCAGAACTGGAAATGTTAGTCAGAGACAGCATGGGGTTGCTGCTGTGTCTTTTTATTCGGATTCAAACAAGAGCGCTCCGTGTAGTCTTGCTTTTGTAAAACTACAGTAAATGGGCTGGTGAAATAGCATCACTCTCATACAGGAATAAGAATAGTAACTTTCTGAAATGTCATGTTCTGCTGGGGGACAGGGTAACAATGAATCTGTCTTCTACTGCATTTCACATCACTAGTTCTCAAAGCACTTCCTAAAGGAGGCCAGCATAATATTCCCATCTTACAGAAGGAGTTGAGTCAAAAAGACTTTTGCTAGAAAAGCTACAGCTAAGCAACCTGAGTCTCAATCATCTGCTCTTCCTGGATTATCTCAGATCATTTGGCAGTGTAGCTAATTTCCAATTAAACATAAACTTGGGCTTGTTTAATGCACAAATATATCTGGAAAAGTAATGGGAAGTCAGAGCACATGTCATCAGCCCAAACTCACATTTAGACTGTGATGCACTTAGCCAATATGCCTGAATACAAAACTTCAAACAAGGCAAAAAGACAGGAAACAGGGTGAAAGGGATTTTGGTACATGTCTTTTGCCCACTCTCCAGGATCCAGAGCGAAACAAGATCTTCCAGTGGTTGGAGGTAACATCTAAACATGGAATTGTCCAGCTCTCCTTTCCACTAATCTCAGAGCCTATGCTGGGGTCCTACCATATCATTGTGGAAAAGAAATCAGGTGAAAAACTGTACCAGTTATTCAGCGTGGAGGAATATGGTAAGCAATGGCTTTGAACTGCCCTGCATTAGCGATGAGGCTGGGTCTGCCCAAGTCAGATAGGAGCTGCTAGTGCAGAGTTTCAGTGTTTTGAATTCTCCACTTCATGTCTGAGAAAGAAAGAGACGGAGAGAGCTGGGTGGAGAAAGTGAAGGCAAAAAGGGAAAAAAGAAGTGCTGAGCAAGGCAGCATTTTTCAGGAAGTACGTTAGGAGTCTAATTCTTTTCTGGGCTTGGCACAAAGTCACAGTGTGATTTTGGACTCCCCAGCCTCTCACTTAGGCCTTATACTCTCCGTCTGTTCAAAGTCAAAATGAATGAGTCAGGTATGTTCTGATTTGTGAAGAGCATCACCATGTGAAGTGTGCTAGGCTAAAATATGCAGTAGAAATCTGAAGGTATTACCTATCAGACAGATTAAATAACAGGTACCAGATTGTTATTGGGGGAAGCTGGCTAGCCAGTGGAAGTGCAAGACGGAGAACAGTGGGTAATGCAGATGCCAAAGCCCTCATAGGGATCTGCTTACTCTCTGGAATGGGCTATATCAAGGGAGTTGCTGTATTTGTTTTGATTTTACAAGTTTTCTCATCTTTTAGTGGCAGGTTTTCTTTAGTAGTCCCCAGAGAAGGCTTGGACATCTCCTAGTTGTTTGGGTCTTTCGTAGGGTCAATAAAGCACCTTTCCTGCTTAACTGTCAGAGTACTTTCATATATTCCAGTGTTCTGCGTACAGGTGAATGAGAAAAAGGCCTTTTCCAGCTACATTGTCATGATTGTTGGTAACCTGGGAGAAAGGAGTAGCTGAAAAGCTGGAGTGACATTGACCTGTTTGATTTCACTATTTCACTGAATCTGTTGCCTTTCTGCTTCAATGGGGCTGGATTGCGTAACAGCTTCTGTTCTCCAGCACCTAAGTTGTTTGAGACATCAGCAATACTCTCACCTCTCTCCTGAAGAAAATGTATAGCAAATTAATGTATTTTATCACAATTCTTAATGTGGCTGTTATCATTATTAGTATGATTATTATTGCATTTTCAACAAGTTATTCATCTTACCACTAAGGTTATTTTTTCTCTGATAATAGCCTGCAGCCAGTTCCAAGGTAGACTTTTCTCTGCACCATTTCCTGCCCCTTGTTGGTGAAAATGCCTTTACCAACTGTTTTTTTAATGTCTTACACACACATCTGCCTATGGCATACAGCTGCTGATCTGTCATACTCACGTTGCATTCCCAGTGCTGCCGAAATTTGAAGTGACAACCAGCGTGCCAAATCGCATCTCTTTCTTTGATGAAGAACTCAGGGTGAATGTTTGTGCTTCGTAAGTATCAGAGCTGAGAACGATACATTTGCGCACAAGAAACACGGTATAGTGGATGGTGTGCCGTGCTGGAAAGCAGGGATCCTGCTGCTGATTTGGAGTACGGGTTAGAGCGATTCCTTTAGCTATGATTTCTATGGCATGAAATATGATAACTCTCCTCTTGCTATACAGCAGTATTAGAACTGGGAAAGTTTGTGTGTGTCCAACACTTTGAAGGTATCAAGTGGTACATGCTCACTAGCCGCTGGTTTATATTATTATAGAAAATGAGAGAAATAGTACAGGAGAGTCTGTCATTAACATTGCTGTTTGTGACAGTGCTGAAGGGCAGGGTGGCATGAGCTAAAGGGGTGAACAGCGATCTTTATGCAGCATGTCCTCCTTTGTGTAAGGCATTAATGAGGAAAAAGCAGGCAGAAGAGAATGATATCCCAAACCTGAGCCCAACACCACTTTCCAGCTTCAGACCTTGAAGAATGATCACATCCAGACAATGGAAAAGCAGGCTTTTTTAACAACATGCCAGAAAAGCTTAAAAATAGTTGAAAGGAATTCTGCTAGGGCTAACTGGCCCTAATTCCCAGCTGCTCTTCTGGCCGTGATCTGGGCAGTCCTGAGGGGTTTAGAGTCTGCGTTGCTCTGCAGTGTTTGCAGGTTTCATTTAAGTCCACGTGATTGGATTCTTGTGTCTCTTCCTCTCCTAGGTACACTTATGGCCAACCGGTGCAAGGGAATGTCCAAATCAATGTGTGTCAGCAGCGCTTTTATCGTCCACGGTGTGAGCAAAACCAGAAAGAAATCTGTGAAGCTGTCACTGGACTGGTATGATACAGGGCAAGGCCTTTCTTCCCAGTCAGCTTTACTACCCAACATGTAGCACAGTGTTTGGTGGCCTCGTTCATTTCCTGGGGAACACCACAGAGACAATCCCAGAGGAATGCTTTTTCTCACAATCTCACAGGAAATGCTGAAAGACCTTGAAGGTAGTTTTTACCAACGACCTTATTAGGAGACTTTGTTTTTTCCCTCAGAAAGAGTCAGTGGGAGGGAAGGAAACTTACAAAACTATAAACTTGTGATCATTCCTAAAACACTGGAGCTGTGTTCTTGCCAAGTGTAATCAGCAGATCTGTCCTGGGAATCTTTGAGGACACTTAATATTAAACTACTGATTAATTTCTCCACTAGATCAGACTCACAGTGCTCTGGTCATAGAGCTCAGGCATCATGAAAGATTTGTTTGAAAAGGAATGCGAGCATAGAGAGGACTAGGGGGAATGAAGAGAGAGGTTTCCAGGTGCAAGGGTAGATGACATTGAAACAACGAGCTGAGAAGGCACCCAGGGAGTGAGAAAGGTAAGGTAGGAGGGGAGCGAATAGAAGGTAGGAGCTGAAGATGTGAGCAGAGGCATGAAGCTCTTTAGAGACCCACTAATACAGATTCAGGAGAAATTTTCCAAACATGGAGAAAAATGAGCTTTCCCCTTTGTGCTCCTTTTTCAGCTGGGGAAGGATGGCTGCCTCAACACCGTCATCTCCATCAAAACATTCCAGCTCTACCGCAGCTATGCTAGCATGTATACCAGCCTCAATGTAGAAAGCACCGTCACTGAAAATGGGACAGGTAACACCAAGTGGAGGTCGGGAGTAGCTGATTAACGCTAATAGGTCATACTTTCTGAGAGGAATCTCCTGGATCCTGATCTGTGCAGCAAACAACAAACGATCACCATTTTCTCTGTGTAGCTCTCCCTCCAGAGCATCTCTGCTCCATACAGCTTTTCAAAAGAAGCAGTTTTCTGCCCTTGTCTGATTTCTGTTTCCTGCTCTTTATACTGTGTGTGTCTCACAGGTATCCAGATGAAAGGCTATGACTATGTTGCAGTCAATCAAGAAAATGACAGAGTGATGTTCCAGAATATGGATTTCTATTACAAGAGAGGAATTCCTTACTCTGGTGAGGTGGGTACCTGAGAGGATACATTTAAATCAAAACTCCCTGAGGTCCAGCGTGATGATCTCTGTGTTGTCCCCTTTATGGATGTCCCCTAACACTGTGCTGACGACTTCCCATGCTAATGTTGCGTAACAGTGACTGCTGCATAGTTCTCTCATTACGTTGGACACTCCTGGAGGAAAGAAAATGATATTATGCCTGGAGTGTTAGGTGCCATAATTAGAGAATGCCTAAAAGGTAGGTGAAAGGCCATAGGAGTGGAGAAGAAGAGTCTGCAAGAAACTACTTCAGCAACAGCTGTGCCTAAACCCGAGGTAGAATTTACCCTGCGTTGCATCACACAGTCCCAGAGATTTTTATTTACAGAATAGGTTTTGGAGCACATTCCAAATCCTTACCAGCCTGCACACACGGGATAAGCCCAGGCACAGGAAGGAGGATGAACCATATAGCACTATCCCAGTGTGTATGCACAGATGCCCAGCAGCTGGGAGGTGTTACTGAGCTCCACAGGTTACCTGTGGCCAGAAAGTCATCTGGTTGCTGTAAGTTTGTTGATCAGTGCACTCCAAAGAGTATGTGCTCTGGAGTCCCTTTGTTTCTGTTTGCTCGGGAATGGAGAGAATGAGGTAAGAATTTAAACCACCATCTCTCACTCTGTAGTTTTTAACTTATGCGACGGCCCAATTAACTGATAGTCACTGAAAAGAAACAGAGGATTTTTCATTAAAAGAATCTTTTACATGAGATGATGTATATAAACAATTCCTTCTCCCTCTGTGACACACAGTTTCTCCTTGCACTGATGGGAGTTGCCTGCCTTTGCCTGTCACAGAACTGCTCCTTCAAAATATTGGGGAGCATTTGCCTCTTAAATGCATTTCACTCTTGATTTCTGCTTCCTGAAATTGTCCTCGGTACTTAAGTGAGTGTCCTCTGGTAAGCAAAGCATTCCCGTTTCTTTTGGAATTTTTATTTTTTCTGAATCCCTTGGGTATTCTTTGTGTTCAGGTCTCTGTGACAAATCTGGATGCTGAG